CATCTTCTACTATATTACTTGCCTGCCCATCCATCCATCCATCCATCCATCCATCCATCCATCCATCCATTTTCTTGCTTTAAGGAAGAGGGGTTGGGATTCTGATACAATATTTCCCAAAGGCCCCATAGGTTCTGAGTGAAAAAACAGAAAGAAAATGAGAATATTGGAAAAGATCTTGGAGATTTTGCATCCCAACTACCTCTTTCACAGGGACCCTACAAAACTGCTTTTGCTTAAATAAGATTTTGGGGTGGTGTAGGACTAGTAAGATTCAGGTTCTGTCATGAATACTCTCAGGGTAATTTTGGATCAGTTCCTCTCTCTTGGTTCAGCTTACTTCATAGGTTTATTTTGGGGAAAAGTGAAGATATGCTTTGTATGCTGCTTTGAGAGGCTTTATTTGTAATTCCAATAAAGATCAGTAAGTAAATTTGGAGACTTATCCCTAAACATATCAGGCATGGAAGCTAGGTCCACATATGAAGCCCCAATTAAACTGATTTATTGTTACTTGGTGTCTATCTGCAGGAATTCTCAATTAATGGTTAGTACCTGCTTGGAGTTAGATAAGCATCAATAGAATTCAAGGGAGGTTGGACTTACCGTATTTTTCGCAGACACACCGGACCATAAGACGTGCATTAGCTTTAGAGGAGGCAAACAAGAAAAAAAAATCTGCCTCTGCCTCCCAGCATCCATCTGGTGTTCATCTGGCTAGCATCCTTGCAGCAAACAGCCTGCTCAGCTTCATCATGTTATTGCAGTCCCAACATGTAGCTCATCAGGGCTCTGCTCCATTGTGCCCACCATCAGTCACCTGAGCTGAGCTGGCACTGGGGAACTCTGGAGCCTTTGCTGCCGAGCAGCTGATGGGTGGTTGGATTGGCCTCCCGGAATAACGCAGATCAGTTGTTCTAGGTGGCGTGGATCACTGCCGCCTATCGCTGCCACCACCAATTGCCACCGCCTATCACCACTGCTGTTTGCCACTGCCATTCGCTACTGATCGGCCGATTTCTGATTGCTGCCACTGCCGGTGAATTACAGCAGTGATTGGCAGCGGCGATCCTTGCCACCTGGAACAGCTGATTGGCGGTATTCTGGGAGCCCGATCTAATTGCCAATCAGCTGCTCGGCAGCGAAGGTTCCAGCATTCCCCGGCGGGAGTGAATGGCAGCAGTGGTGATAGGCAGCGAATGCCACCGGCACCCCCACCCCCACAATATTTGCTCTATAAGATGCACAGACATTTCCACTCACTTTGGGGGGGGGGAATGTGTGTCTTATAGTGCAAAAAATATGGTACTTCCTTTGTGGTTACATAGGGTCTAGGCTGATCCCTCTCTTGACTCCAGCCCCAGATTCTGCCACTCCTTCCCCTACATACACAGGCAGTGAATTGAGATACAATTGGGGCTTTTACTGAACTCCTCTCTCCTTATGGCTAGTTAGAATTTGCTCCAGCTGCACATAGATTCCACCCAACACATCCTTTTCCATCTCTTTCACAGTCATTCGTGAAGGTCTAACTGGTTATTAAAGGTTATTTTATTTCCTGATATTTCCTTGGTTCAAAAATAGCACTTTTTAGGAAATATCCTACAATTGGCCATATTCACACAACATACTTACCCACATCTTGGGTTTGCACTGTAGCTGAACCATCAACTAACCCAACTAGGGTCAATTTTTGTTTTTTTGTTTGTTTATTCATTTGTTTATTTACCTATCTACCTATCTACTACTTACCTACTTACTTATTTACTTACTTACTGATTTATATTTTTTTATTTCTTAACCAACCACCTCCCTCAGAGAATTTGTACCCCACAGTAAGCCACAAGGAGAAATAAACCAAGGTTAAAACTAACTAAGCTTAGCAAGTTAAGCACAGGCAGCCTATAGGCTTTGATCGAGCTGGTGAGATTGTGTGAAGCGAAGGCAAGCATAGACTAAGACTAATATCTCATTAAAGCATGGAAGCGTGTGTGTGAAATGAAACCATTCGGCCTTCAGCAACATGAAGACAAAGGATTCCATTCATGAAAACAAAGAAGGTTCCATTCTCCATTAACTCTGGTGGAAGCTCTTTACTTCCTGTAGAACAAAATCCCCTGTGAGAAGCTGATAAACAAAGCAGTTCTGGTGGCTTACAAATAACCATGACGTCACCCTTTTCAATTCTAGCTCTGGGGAGTTTTCAAGGAGAATGACATCATTCAAAGTGGTAGCCTCTGGTATTAGAGGTAAAGAGTCTCAGGAACCTGGAAGCCTCAGGGAAGCCTGAAGAAGAAGTCCTGTGATATGTCCACCTTGTATCTCCAGAAACACAATGACTGTAGCCCAGCTATGCCCTGAGGGATAGAAAGCTGCAATCCAGATGTACCCACTGCCATCGAAGTAAGATTTAAAACCTGGGTGAAGATCATGTTGATAGATGCTTCATTGTGCTTCACATTTTATCAGCCCTTCCAACAGTGGCAAGAATTTTTCTCTCTCTCCAAATCTCTCTGGGCAGATCTTCCTTCCAGCCTTGTCATGTAATGTTGCAAAGATATAAAATTGATTGGATCCATATGGAAAGCCTTCCTCCTGAGAAGACTGCATCCATTGCCGACTTTCTCTCCGGCAGGCCAATTACAACAGCCACGCTCCCTCCCTCCCTCCCAGCTCAGAAGAGTTTGGAGACCCCCTCCCTCAAAAAACACCCCCCAGGGGCAAACCAAAGTGACATCCCCCTCCGAGCTTGCACAGAGGCACTTTGGAGACACACTGAACACATCCATTCCAGACAAAGGGACACACCCTGCAGGCTGCCTCTCAGATGAACATTTAAAACAAGTGCCTCTGATTAAAAGATTTTTAAAGATTTTTAAAAAACCTTTAAGCTAAAGGTACATAAAGCTCAGTCTTTTTTTCTTTTTACAAAAAAGAAGAAATAAAGGGTTTTTTTTCTTCATTGTTACTGCAGTAAAGAATAGAATTCTGCTTTTTCTTTCTTTCTTAAAAAAAAAGCACATTCTAGCGCAAATTTCCAAAGCAGTGATGACATCAGCATTATATTTAATTCCCCACCACTGTTTTGGCTAATCTTGCAAGCTTTAAGGCAAGCTGCATTTAGCTTTGTTGCCTCTCAATACTGCACCATCGGTGCTCTTAGAGCCCATCAGCTGGTGAGTGATGAATACCCGGGCAAAAAGTGCACAAATCTAACAGACTGCATTCACACATGCTGAAGCATTTCTGCAGGATACAGGCGAAGTGCACATGCCTTCAGCCAGTCACACCCACTGCAAAATATTTGGTCAAAGCTTTCATGCTCACCAAGAATTGGAGGAACAGCTGCTTTACCACATAATGCATAGAAAGGATACTTAAACACTAAGGCTTTATAAAGGGTGTTACCAATGTGGGTTTGTGGACATACTTAAGTCTTAAAGCAGGCTTCCAACCTCCTGCATTCATAATACTCAGATATATTGCAAAAAGTGTAATAGTCCTAATCTAGAAGGTCAGGTAATGCAGCCTGTCTAGAAACTCACATCCTGCAAAGATATTGTAGACAGGATCATTTAGATTCACAGATGCTCTGACGTTAGGGAGATAAGTCTCCTAAATGTAATTCATGGGTCCACAGATGGGTACCCATATCTCCTCCTTAGGCAAGTCAACTAATGGTCCACAGAGACTCCTCTCTGCAAGCCCACCGGAATGCCTGTCACTACAGAGAGGCAGAAAACATACACTACAAGACATGACATCAGCCCACCCGCCTAAATGAGCAGGCATCCCACTTCCAGTGCAAGTTATGGAAACATGTGCACAAACACACCCACCATCTGGACTGAGATCATTCAATTACATGCCTTTCTAGATTCGCATCCATGCTGTATGCTCAGCGATGTATTTTAAGCTTCAGGGGAAGAAATCCATATTTAAAACAGGGTGGATTAGAACTTCTAATATTCTAACAAGGCTTTATTTCTTCCTCATGCTGCAGGGATTGCAATTAATGGCAGGATCACTGAGAAATGTACAAGAGATCCCCATCTATTTAAAGGATTTCAGAGGGGTTGACTAAGTCACAACCAGAATAAATCATTTTAAAGCTAGACTAGATCCTTTCCAATAGACAAGATGACAACCCCCACAATCCCCAGTTATCTTGCCCATGCTGTCTGAGATTTATGAGAGTTATAATCCAAGATAGCAGGAAGAAAGCTGGGCTGGACAGCCACAGTGTACAATTTGAGGGGTGAGGATCACACTTGATTCTTATGTACAGTCAAGTCCAAAAATAAGATACAGCTGTACTTGCTTTGATTAAAATTAGATTGAATTATATATGAGTGGCATGAATCCCCCCCAGGATTTAATAGTTTCCACAAACTATCACATTATAAATTAAAATTTGGTGACAACTTTTAGATGACTCCAGTGGGTCACATCAAAATTTCCAGATACTTGCAGTGAATCTAAAATAAGGAGGTCCCAATGATATAGAGCAGTATTTCTCAACCTTGGCAACTTGAAGACGGGTGGACTTCAATTCCCAGAATTCCCCAGCCAGCATGCTGATGCCCTTCTTTCCTTTCCTTCCAGCTTTCCCAGCATTAGAGCCTTTCCTAGAGATTGCCGAATGTTGCTTACTCTGAAATTAAATTTCAAGATGGGTATTCTCAGCAACTTTAAGAGGCATGGACTTTAACTCCAGCATGCTGGCTGGGAAATTCTGGGAGTTGAGGTCCACACATCTTCAAGTTGCCAAGGTTGAGGAACACTGATATAGAGTGTTATATGCATCCATCCAAGGATTAAATATGAACTCTGACATACTTTTGGACAACCGCCCCAAAGATAAATTATTCCCATCACTGAAATTCATAGTTTTAATTTTAGCACCCTGAATCAGGATCAAAGTGTCATCTTCCTTGGGCTGAAACATGGGGCCATTCCTCATCTTTCCTGGAGTTATTCTACAATGCTGTCCTTCTTACCTTCTTCCAGTTCATCCATGCTGCCAATCTTTCTGTTGCCATCAATGGTGTAAATGTAGCGAACTCCCTGAGGCAGATTAATGTTATCAGACAGAGAACGGGTCAGATCAGCAAGCAAGGCATCAAAGCTTCGAAAGCGGTCACTGGAGACAGCATAAACAATCCCCTTGAAATAACGGTCCCCATTGCGGTAGAAACGCACTTTCTTTGCCTTCTTCTCATTGCTCAGCGCCTGTAAGGTCCTGGTGCGGTAGAAACTACAGTGGGCGCTGTGAGTGGGACTTGGCAGGCCATTCATTCGGGAGCCACGCATGTTTCTGGACGCCTTATCTCTTTCGTCAAAGTGTCCAAAATCAAGTTCCATTGCTTGGTGACCCCTAAAGATGTGAAGCTGAGGCAGAAGAAGAAGGAAAAGAATGGAAGCAAAGAAAAAACAAATATAATAATAATAATAATAATAATAATAATAATAATATATTATAATAATAATAATAATCCAGCATGGTTATCTCATTTGCTGTGTATACTGTCATTTTTGTGTATATAATAATAATATAACCGTGATATCCATTGTCATTGGGGCACTTGGTACCATGTCCAAGAATTTTATAAGATACATCAACAACAGCTTCCTGCAATAACACCAGCGGAACTGCAAAAAACTGCGCTACTTGGAACATCGTACATCTTAAGAAGGTACTTGGTTGAGGTACTTGAACACCATTGGCATTGACAAATTTGCCATCGGTCAATTGCAAATGGCGTCTTTATTGGGAATAGCTTTCATCCTGTGATGATATTTGTAACACCATCAAATATGCACATCTGCCTATCCCAGGTACTTGGTAAGGACTCGATAGGTAAACAAAAATGCCAAACCTAGTCTGAAACATCTGGCTGACTGTGCGATTAATTAAGGCAACCACCACCTTACTCAGAACTGCCTATATACTCAGATGTTACCTTAACAGCTCTTAGGTCCTTGGTTAGGATTTGAACTGTTAAGTTTTTACCAGTCCCAGACTGTGAATCAAATTGAAAATTAAATCAATAATAATAATAATAATAATAATAATAATAATAATAATAATGATGATGATGATGATGATGATGATGCAAAAATTACTGGGAACACTAAATCGACAAAGTTCTTGAAAATGAATAGGTCAAGATCTTGTGGGACTTTTGAATCCAAACAGACAGACATCTGGCCTACAACACACCTGATGTCACTATTGTGGAAAGGAAAAAAACTCTGGTTCGTTGATATTGCAATACCAGGTGATACACGAATTGAAGAGAAACAACTAGAAAAAATAACAAAATACCACGATCTGCAAGTTGAAGTTGAGCAATTGTGGAGGAAGAAAGCAATGGCTGTACCAATAGTAACAGGAGCCTTTGGAGCAATACCCAAAGGGTTGCCTAGATACATGGAAAGTTTGAATTTATCAGACCTGAATATCCTGACTTTGCAAAAAACTACCTTACTCGGAACTGCCTATATACTCAGACGCTACCTTAATAGCTCTTAACGTTCTTGGTTTTTTCTCCAGTCCCAAACTAAATCAAATTGAAGATTACATCTTTAATAATTAATAATAATAATAATAATAATAATAATAATAATAATAATAATAATTAATGATGATGATGCAATGAGACAATTCACCCTTTGGAGAAAGAAAGCCGATGATACAGAACTTGGATTTAGGCCCCTTTAAAAAAAAAAAGAGGAAGGAAGGAAGGAAGAAATGGAACACCTGGGTTTTCCTTCTCTTGGAAGGCTACCAGAGAAGATTTTTCCATATGTGCATGAGTGAACTGTTGGGAGCATTAGGGAGGGAAGGAGCCTCCTACGTAATACAATTAATCAAGATTGATTATTTCTAAGAATAATTTTCATCCCACCTCCCCATCTTTCGGGATAACTCTCTTTCCAAAGCAGCTTATAAGAGAAAGAAAAAAAGCCAGGAAGAAGCATTTCACTGAGCCTCCTGGACTCTCTACGGAAATCAGTTCTGTCTATCAGGAGCAGCAAACCCTTTTATGGACACTGTTGGAAGATGGATCTGTGAACAGCTGTAAGGAGTGAGCAGAAGTTCACTGCAGTTTAGATGGGGCTGTGGACTGGGGGGCATGGGTGGGGGGCGGGGGGAGAAAGGAAAGAAAGACGATGCACCTTCCATGGATGGAAACATGAAAGTGACAATGCCCTAGAGTTACACGGCTGACAAACCAAAGAACCAGTCCATTATCTGTAACAGATTCAACATGGCCAAGGGTGACTGGAGTGACCAAGCTAGGGACCCCCTTTTAAACGGGGGTGGGGGTGGGAATCATCAGTAAGTCTCTTCTCCGGTCATACAGCAACAATGCCATTTTCTTTGTGAGCAGCTGGTTTCAGAAGCCAGCCAGCCCCCCCTCCCCCTCCTGTCCCCCCAGTCCTTCCCTTAGCTCATACATCCCTCCTAAGCCATCAATCACTTTTGAGGGTTATTCTCAATCGCCCAGGAGATAACATGGAAGGGTGGAAGGAGTTAATATGGAAACAGCAGCAAGGAAGTTAATGTGGAAGAACAGTATTGTTTCCACTTGGAATGCAATTCGAAGGTCAATTAATCAGGAAGGTTTTTGACATTCCCCTTTCCCTCTCCTTCTTACCGGTAAAATGAAGTGACTTTTAATTGCCGAAGGCACCTCCTAGCCATATTGCTGTCACACCCCTGCAAGTAGCACCTTTCATTGTTCAGAGCCAGAGCAGGGAATGAGAGGCTTAGCTTAATTTTGTGCAATGGAGGAGTGATGGAAATGACAGAAAGACCAAGATCCTAGGAATCTCCTCCTTTTGCAATTTAAAACTTGGCATGCAAACCCAAGCTCTGACTATAATGGGAAAAAAAAGAAGGATGCAAGCTCTGGCTATCATTAGCCTTCCCACAATTAGCATGCAGGTCACATCTCTACCACAGAAACAGGGCGAAACATGCTCTTTGCAATCAGGTACAAATCTTGAGCAAAAGCGATCGCTCCCCAGCCACTTCCTATCAGTTTTGGTCAGGTCCCAACCCACCATTCATTTTCTACAGGGTGATAATGACCAGTCCCTGACCTTCGTATTGTCACCCTTGAGCTGCAGAGGGAGTTTTTCCAGCCTCTTTTCCTTCCGTCAAATTGCAGACTCCACTCTTGCCTCCTCCTTTCTACTGAAGTCTGCATGTACAATGGAATTGCACCAAAAGCCAACTTTTCCGAAAAAGGAAAGGCAAAATCAAATGGCTGAGTGGTGGGCTATGAAGGCATCCGTGGCTCAAACGGTTCAGCCTGTTCTTCTTTTGGCATCTGACATCGTTACTCGCCCTGCTTGGAAAAGTCAGGCTTTACTTACCGTTTTTTTCAGCTCACAGGGCGGAGATGCTGAGAGAAAGAAACCCAGCTACACTCTGCCTTTGTTGTCTGTGCTCCAAGCAAGAAATTCCTGCCAGTTTGGCCAAGATTCCTGCTAGGTCCTAGTGCCTTTTGCATACATGGGTTTGCACGCCCATGCTCACAGATTGACATGCAGGCCCCTTCTGAAACATGAAGTGCCTTGGCTTGGCTTCACACTCAGGACCAATTTCCTAGTAAAAATTTCCCTTCCCACCTTTTGAAAGAGAAAAGGTAGCCTGATGCATGATTTCAATTTTCACATGAAGCCACAAAGAGTGGGATAAGCCATATTTTGGGAGGCATTGTCTGTGCTTCTCCAAGAAAAATCTCCCATTGTCTTCAGTTCCTCATACTCTTCCCAGCCCAGCTGAAAACAGGCATGGTTTGATTTATGGCACGGCATTAGACTTCAGCACACACAGTACAAAAGTGAGGGAGTACTAGCTAGATGCCTATGAAAATCTCAGCTGCCTTGTGGATTCAAGAGGGGTGAGGCTTTAGGCAAGCAAGGTTGTGTAAATCAATACATTCTTCTTATGATTACACACCATATTTCTCCAAACCTCAACATCAAAGGGTAAGGCACTCTGATAGGCTTAACCAGGACCTTGATTCACAAGAAATCTAGGGGTAGGGGTTTAATCTCAAGCCATCTGGGTGGAGATACACCTATTCCTAATTTAGAATGATGTCATTCTGACTTTGATTCCAGATGCCAAAAGGTTGGGGACCCCTGCTCTACAAGAATCTGAACTACTAATGTTTAAGGCAAATTGGCAGTAGATAAGAGTCAATGGAATTCAAGGAGGGCTGGACTTAGATCTCTTGTGGTTACAAAGGGATTTGACACGGATAACATATTTGACTCCTTCTGAGGGCTCAGCCTGATCATCTCCTACATCATCTTCTTCATCACATTCACTATCTCTCCCCTCACAAAACTGTTGAACTCTCGCTCCCCATTTCTTTAACCAAAGTTACCCAAACCCCAACTGTTAATACTGTGTGAAACAAGTCTCAATTGTCCTTTTTTTTTTGCTGAGGGTTTTCATTCAAACTGATGGAAGGATAAACCATACAATCATAGAGTTGGAAGGGACCTTCAAGGTCTTCTAGTCCAATCCCCTGCCCAAGGCAGGAGACCATATATCATTCCAGACAAATGGCTGTCCAGTGTCTTCTTGAAAACCTTCAGTGATAAACCCAGAACTGCAGGAGGCAAGCTGTTCCACTGATTAATTCCACTGTGAAGAAATTTCTCCTTAGTTCCAGGTTGAATCTCCCTATGATGAGCTTCCACCCACTGCGACTTGTCTTGCCCTCTGGTGCCAAAAGATGATAAATTCTAGTCATTAAGTGAGGTAAAATATTGGAGTAAACAAGCCAGTTTTGTCCAGTGGTTAAGGCTCCAGGCTAGAAACTAGGAAGCTGTGAGTTCTCAGAAATGAAAGCCAGCTGGGTGACTTTGGGCCAATCACCAGGAGACTGTGAGTTCTAGTCCTGCCTTAGCCATGTAACCCAGCTAGGTGATTTTGGGCCAATTACTCTCTCTCAGCCCAACTCCCTCACAGGGTTTTTGTTGTGGGGAAAATATGAGGAGGAAGAAGTATTATGTATGTTCATTGTTTTGAATTACTTATAAAATAATAAAGGTAGGATAAAAATATAATAATATGGTCATAATTTTAACCTTTTAAAAAATAATCCACTGAAGTAATTTCACAGCCTAATTAATTAATCAATCATCAGAAATGGTGTACGGTCCCCTGCTTGGGTGGAGGGTTGGACTAGTTTACCTACAAGGTCCCTTCCAACTCTGTTAATCTGTAAATCATTCTGGCAGAATTATAAACAGAGCAATCAAAAATCACTATTATTAGGTTAGTTCATAAAGGCAGAATCTTTTCATTAGTACAGGTAGTCCTTGAGTTATAATCACAATTGAGCCCAAAATTTCTGTTGTTAAATGAGACATTTGTTAACTGAGTTTTGCCCTATTTTACAACCTTTCTTGCTTCAGTTGTTAAATGAATCCCTGTAGTTGGTAAATTATGAACCCAGTTGTTAAGTGAATCTGGCTTCCCCATTGGCTTTGCTTGCCAGAAGGTCGCAAAATGTGATCATGTGACCCTGTGACACTGCAACCATCATAAATATGAACCAGTCACCAAGCATCTGAATTGTGATCACATGACCATGGGGATGTTGCAAAGGTTGTGACTGTGAAAAATGGTCAGAAGTCACATTTTTCAGCGCTGTTGTTAACTTTGAACGATTGCTAAATGAACTGCTTTAAGTCGAGGACTACCTGTATTGCAAACATCACTGCAGGGCAGGGCTGCATATGAAAAAATGGGTAGAGCTTTCATCACACCAATGCAATTGTCATCCTGACTTTTTCGATCAAGGAACCCTTGTTCAAACAAAAACAGTGGTCCATTCTGCTCTTCTGTACTCCTTATTCTAATTCAGCTGAAATGAAGCAGTTCTGATCCTCCCATTCAAAAACCTTCTGCTATCAGTTAAGGTAATCAGTAGAAGCCACAATGGTATCAAAATGATGACACATGTCACACACCTCTCTGCACATGATAAATTAAACAGTTGCACATTGACATCTGATGCAAGTTCTGTCACTGACGAAACCTGGGCGTCTTCAGCAAAGCACAATGATGCCAAAACGATGAAATGTGCATGCTGATATTGTCACCAAAATGCCAGCCAGCTGACCTCTGCTTCAAATACATGATCGCTCCCTTTGCATGATAATTCACATTTCAATTCTGTTTTGTTTTATTTTATTTATTATAGCCTTTAGCCAGCAAATAAATCAAAAAGGAAAGGAAAGAGTCAAAACAGAAAAGTACAAATAAGCATATATAGCAGTCCAACTTAACTCTTATTATGGACGCCATGCTGAATAAAAAAATCTTTGCAGCGTTTTGTTTGCACAAAAAGCATTATTTGTTGTTGTTGTTAGTCGTGAAGTCGTGTCCGACCCTTTGCAACCCCATGGACAACGTTCCTCCAGGCCAGTGGTGGGATTCAAATAATTTAACAACTGGTTCTCTGCCCTAATGACCAGCTTGGTGGGCGTGGCCATGGTGGCCGTGGCCAGGGGGTGTGACAGGCAGCACTTGGCCTCCTGCACCCCTCTGGGAGCAAAACCGGGCTGCGGAAGGGGACGCGCTGCCCCCCCCCATGCCCCATTTTGGGCCTAGTAAACCTCCCTGCAGCCTCCTGGGAGCAAAAATGGGCCGTGAGGGGGAGCGCCACACACCCCCAAGCCCCATTTTGGGCCTAGTAGACCTCCTTGCACTTACCTGGGAGCCAAAATGGGGCACATGGTGACTCCTGGAAGGGGCAGGGAGGGGAGAGGCGGGGCCAGTCAGCAATTTAACTACCGGTTCGCCTGAACCAGCCCAAACCAGCTGAATCCCACCACTATTCCTGCCCTCTACTATCCCCTGGAGTACATTTAAGCTCACACCTACTGTTTCAGTGACTCCATACAGTCACCTCATTTTCTGCCATCCCCTTCTTCTTTTGCCCTCAATCGTTCCCAGCATGAGGCTCTTCTCCAGTGAGTCCTTTCTTCTCATTAAGTGGCCAAAGTATTTCAATTTCATCTTCAGGATCTCGCCTTCTAAAGAGCAGTCAGGGTTGATCTCCTCTAGGACTGACAGTTTGATCGCCTTGCAGTCCAAGGGACTCGCAGGAATCTTCTCCAGCACCATAATTCAAAGGCCTCAATTCTTTGGCACTCAGCCTTCCTTATGGTCCAACTTTCAAAGCCATACATTGCAACTGGGAAAACCATAGCCTTGACTATACGCACTTTTGTTGGCAGGGTGCCGTCTCTGCTTTTTAGTATGCTGTCTAGATTTGCCATAATTTTCCTCCACAGGAGCAAGCATCTTTTAATTTATTGGCTGTAGTCCCCATCTGCGGTGATCTTGGAGCCCAGGAAAAGCATTATTAGTGAGTAGTAAATCAACACCAAAACTGTCTGTTTTGGGGATTGCTGCTAGAAGGGGAAAAATAAGATTTCAATGCAATTTTGTATAAAGTATTCAATATACAAGAACATTTGGTAACCAACAAAAACTGGAGCAGTTGATTCAGCTCCATTTGTAATAACTGTTGGTCCATCAGATTCATAGCTTGAGACCAACCAAGGTTCATATAAAATACTTCGAGAAAGGCCACATAAAAGGAACTTGCCTTCAGATGTTGTGGGTGCTTCATAACTGGAGGTTTTTAAGAAGTGACTGGACAGACATTTGTCTGAAATGGTATAGGGCAGGGGTGGGCAAATGTGGCTCTTTTACAACCTGTGGACTTCAACTCCCAGAATTCCTGAGACAGTCAAGCTGGTTGGTATAGGGTCTCCTGCTTGACTAGAAGACCTCTAAGGTCCCTTCCAGCTCTATTCTGATTGACCGGGTTTCTGTTTAAGAGACGTCTTCCAAGTAGATTGGAAAGCATCAGTAACAGCCAAGTACATGGAACTGATAGATGCATTTAAGCCAACAATGGTATCATCACACATTTCATTATTTGTTCACACCCTTATGTCTCCCGGCTCTCTGTTCTTCCCCTACCAGTTTTCCAAAGCTAAGTTGGAAGTAATGGGGCCTGCATATAGCCTTCAGATTTGGATCCTTAGCATCTGAGGTACCAACCCCCTCTTCTCTGTGATTATTGGTTTCAAAATTCCTTTCAATGGAAAATAACATTTTGGTGGCTACCTCTTGGATGGAAGGCGGTGCTCATGGCTTGATTAATCGTGACAAGCTTCCACCCATTAGTTTTGTCCTGCCCTCTGGTGCTTTGGAGAATAAGTCGATTACCTCTTCTCTGTGACAGCCCCTCAAGTACCAGAAGATGGTAATCATGTCCCTCCCACCAATCCTCCTCTTTGATAGGCTAGATATACATAGCTCCCTTAAATCATTCATTGTATGGTTTAGCCTCCTGACCTCTTATCGTTATGTTGCTCTTCTCTGCACTCTTTCTAGGATCTCAACATCTATTTTGTATTGTGGTGACCAGAACTGGATGCAGTATTCTAAGTGTGGCCTCACTAGTGAAGTATAGAGTGGTACTATCACCAATGAAGATGAATATACGTATACCAGGATAATGTTAAAGCATCCAATCTGGGCCAATCACTGGGACCAGACGTTCTTCTGAGCTTTCTGACTCATCCTGGAGCCCATCCTCAGGGAACATAGAATAGCCCAAAGCACACATTCTTCTAGAGAGAAGTTCCCAGCACGAGTCCAAAAGCTTGGAATACTAAACCTCTGGTCCCAGTGATCGATGCAGATTGGATCCCAGTACTATCACGTCCATGATTTTGATGCTATCCCTCTGTTATTCAGGCAGTTTCTGAGAATCAGATATGATTGAGCTGAAGGAATGAAAATTACAATCTCTCCCTGTTTAGTCATTCTGTATTAAAAGTTAACTTGAATAACAACGTTGGAAGGGGTTTAGGATCCATCAAGAACTCTTGCTCTCTTCCAGGTGATCATCTTATGAAGGTTCTTTGCATTTCTGCTTTTCTTCCTATCCTGAACAGTTGGTTGGTATTAGGAGCAGCTATAGAATTCTTCTTTTTCAGAATAAAGATCTTACCCAGTCTTGAAATCGCTCGGCTGAAAAGATGGTTAAGAACTTATAAGAAATAAAAAAGAACACCTCTTCTCTGTCGTGGATAGCTGTCAAAATGTAAAATAACAACAGATTACAGAGGCCAATCTTGGGGGAAATAGAGCAATGATGAGATTAACAAAATACATTCAGAACAGAAGTTGAGCAAAAGTTAAGCAAGAACAGCTTCCCTGTAACTCAGGGGTTTCCCAAATGTCAGTGAAGATGCAGAGGGAGTCCAGATAGGTGTGTGTGTGTCAACTTCTCTGATGCTTGCTTGCTATCGGCTGCCATAGTGACGGAGTGAGGGGGGAAAGGTTGGTATTTGGGGGGGATGTGAGCCGGAGAGAGATGCCCTATGTGAACAAATAGGGAGGATTGCTCCTATGTTCTACTGCACAGCTGTATGGACTTGTTTATGCCCAGTCAAGGTCAACTGTCCTGGAATACCAGATGGACAAAAACACCTGAAGATGCTGCCCACATGACACCAATTGGAATGGGGATTGGACATTTACCCTGGGTCTTTGGGGGAGGGATTTGGGGATACTTTCAATTTTTGTGCCTTTATCCTCAGATCTTGCTTTTCTTTCATTGGTATCAGTTCATACTCAATAAAAGTACCTTTCTCTACAATCATGGAGTTGGGATTTTCCTTTCTTGGGTTTTGAATGGAGGCACGCCTGGCATTAAGCAAGATCTGCTTTATCAGCCATCCTGGAGAAAATTCTACCATGGAGACTGAGCAAAGAATGTCTAACCAAGGCAGCGACCATGAGGACATGGGAGTTGCTAAGTCGATTCCCCCCCCCCCAGTCCCATCACAGCTGGGAAGCATCGGAGTGGATGTCTGAACTGCAGATCGAGGAAAACGGTCCGAGCCAAATGGTTGCTGGGCATAGGATGGATGGAGGCTCCGGAGGAGATTCCCCCGGGGTAACAGCTGCCAGACGCCGGCGTGGAGAGGCTGCCTGGTAGGAAGCTGACAAAGAAAGCCTCCTGCTGACTCAGGCTCTGCATCTCCTGCAAGAGGCTCTTGAAAGTCAGAGAGCATGTGAAAGTTATCCCTTAGGCATGAGGAAGCTGAGCAACTGGGGGGAGGGGGGGGAGCAGAAGCTCTTGCAAATCCAGAAGAGATTCCTAGAGCTTGGCCAGAGCCAGCGCAGGCTGCAGGAATTCAAGCGCAGCTGCAGCCCAGGCCCCCCCAGTGGGTGAGGAGTGTAATCTCCTGGAGGTGTCAAATTCCAGAGGTTCCACCGCTAGAAGTAAAATATGGAGAAGATCCCAAGACTTTGGGATTCTTCCTACCCCAGGTTTGGAATCACATGCAGGAGTATGGGGAGGATTTCACTTCAGAAGCGGCAAGGGTGAGGTGTGTCACCATGGCCCTGGAGGAAGCTGCAGCTGAGTGGATGGTTGCCCTCCATAATGAGGATTCCCCACTGCTGAGGATTACAAACTATTTATGATGGCTCTTAGAGTGTGTTTTAATGATCCCTTAGCTGAACGAAAGGGTAGAACCAGAATGAAAACCCTAAACCAGGGGTGGAGATCAGTGACTGAATACACCCAGACTTTCGCGAGCTGGTTTGCCATATGCGGGGGTGGTCCCAAGAGGCCCTGATGGAATGTTACAAGGACGGCCTCAATGAGGATGTCTACCAAAGCTATTGTTCCCAAGCCCCCCCCCCACCCCGAGACCTTCCTCGCTGGTATGTGTTGGCAGCCAAGATGGAAACTGATCTGGCCAGAGATCGATATTGTGGGGGCCGCAGCTGGAACAAGCCTTCCCCTTCCACCCCAAAAGAGGCCCTTAAAGCTACAAAAGGGGGGCCAGCTTCCAAGCCCAGGTCCACAGCATGCTTCCAATCTGGGAAGGAGGGGGCACTCAGCTGCTGATTGTTTCACCAAAACTGGCTTCAAACCGACCTCAGCTGGAGGGAAGAAAACCAAGAAGCCACCAGCAAAGAATCACAAAACAGCTCTGAAAGGTATGGAAATAATAATAATAATAATAAAATAATAATAATAATAATAATAATAATAATAATAATAATAATAATAATAATAATTTTATTTATATACTGCCCTTCTCCCGAAGGACTTGGGGCGGTGTACAGCCAAGATTAAAAACATAAATATACAGTATCATAGTTAAAATTAATTAAAATCATTAAATAGTTTTGGCCAAATTTTAAAACCCAATATTAAAACCCAATTTAAAATCATTCAGTTAGACAGCCCCGCCTGTTGGAACAGCAGAGTCTTGAGGGCACAGCGAAAGACCTGGAGGTCAGAGATGTTACGAATATCCGGGGGCAGTTCATTCCAAAGGGCAGGAGTTCCGACAGAGAAGGCTCTCCTCCTGGGTATCACCAGCCGACATAACTTGGCTGACGGTACCCTGAGGAGTCTCTCTCTGTGGGAGCGGACTGGTCGGTGGGAGGCTATTGGTGGCAGAAGGCGGTCCCGTAAATATCCTGGTCCTATGCCATGGAGCACTTTAAAGGTGGTGACCAACACCTTGAATTGCACCCGGAAGACCACTGGGAGCCAGTGCAGCTCGCGCAGGAGAGGTGTTACATGAGCGTAACAAGGTGCGCCCATAACCACCTGCGCGGCCGCATTCTAGACCAGTTGGAGCCTCCGAGTGCTCTTCAAGGGGAGCCCCATGTAGAGAGCATTACAATAGTCCAGATGGGAGGTGATGAGGGTGTGAGTGACCGTGCACAAGGCGTCCTGGTCCAGAAAGGGACACAACTGGTGAATCAGGCGAACCTGATAAAAAGCCCCCCTGGCTAAGGCCATCATATGCTCTTCTAAAGACAGCCATGAGTCCAGGAGGACATCCAGATTGCGAGCCTTCTCTGTGGGGGGCAAAGATTCACCCCCAATAGTCAGCGATGGCACCAGCTGACTATACCGGGATGCCGGAAGCCACAGCCACTCAGTCTTGGAAGGGTTGAGCTTGAGCCTATTTCTCCCCATCCAGACCCGCACGGCCTCCAGGCAGTGGGACATCACATCAAATCATAGAGTTCGCTCCTCCAGGCCTGGAGGAGTTGGGAGCTCTGACCACCATGGGGGACAGCAAAACCAATTCTGACAATGACCCCCTGGTAAGGCAGCACGTGGGCCCCATGACCATTCCAATGGAGTTAAGGGTGCCTTCATCTGGCGCTCATGGGGAGATGCTAGCCCTTTTGGACTCTGGGTGTACCAGGTGTGTAATCAGCCCAGAGGTGGTGGAAAAAATGGGACTGAGACTGAGGACAATGAAAGTGCCCATAGTGTTTTGCCAGTTGGATGGGTAAGTTGCTGGGGAGGGGCAGCCCACTTTGTGACTGAGCCAGTTGAGATGTGGATGGGGGACCATCGAGAGACTTTGAGATTTATCATAGCCCCCGGAATGGAACGGCCCCTCTTGCTCAGATTACTCTGGCTCCGGAAATGGAACCCTCATGTGAATTGGAGGAAGAGGTTGTTGCGCATCTGCTCCACCCAGCAGGGAAAGGAGGGGGAAAAAAACCCCTGCATAGCCAAAGCCACGAAGGAGCTGGCAGTGGCAGTGAGCAAACACATTGCTGGGGAAGAGAAAATCCCTAAGGAATATTGGGACCTCAGGGAGGCATTCAGCGAGAGGGCTTCAGGTGTGCTCCCATTCCATCACCCCACAGACTGCAGCAGAAGAATCCTCCCAGGGGTGAAACTCCCTAAACCAAAGATCTACTCCATGACCCTCATGAACTGGAGGAATTGCGAAACTTCATTGATAAAAACCTAAAACGGGTTTTCATCCAACCAGTTAGGCCACTAGTGGCTTCCCAGGTGCTGTTCTGTGAGAAAAAAGATGACTCTCTTTGTCTTTGTGTAGATTACAAAAATCTCAACGCCATTTGAGTAGAAAATGTTTACCCATTACCCCTGATGAAGGACATGTTAGCTCATCTGGCCAAAGGGAAGATTTTCACTAAGCTGGACTTGAGAGAGGCTTACTACAGAGTTCGAATTAAGGAAGGGGATGAGTGGAAAACTGCCTTCAATTGCCCTTTGGGTTGTTTCCAGTTTAGGGCGCTCCCATTTGGGTTACAGGAGGCACCCACTGTGTTCATGCAATTGATTAATGAGATTCTGCATGAACATCTCTACAAAGGGGTCCTGGTCTACTTAGATGACATTCTTATTTACACTGAAACCATGGAGGAACATGTGAAAATAGTGTGCTCAGTCCTGATAAAATTCAGGGCTGCTGAGCTATATGCCAAATTCTCAAAGTGCAAATTTCACCGAACTAAAATTGACTATCTGGGTTACCGCATATTGCATGAAGGAATTGAAATGGATCCAGAGAAAGTCCGGCAGTCATGGACTGGGTGCCCCCATGCACTTGCAAGCAGCTGCAAAGCTTCTTAGGCTTTGCTAACTTTTATCGACAATTCATTTCCTCATTTGCAAAAATTGCATTGCCCATTACTAATCTCCTAAAAACAAATGGTAAAGCCAAGGCCTAGCTGCCCCCTTGAGTGGACCATGGAGTGCCAGGCAGCTTTTGAGAAGCTGAAACAATTGTTTGCAGCCGAGCCCATCCTTAAACATCCCGACATGGCGGCCCTTCATAATCCAAGCCGATGCCAGTGACATGGCTGTGGGGGCGGTACTACTTCAGGCAAATGCTGCCAGAACTTTACAACCCTGCGCCTAAACCTCCCATAAATTAACTGAAACTGAATGGAGATGGGCAATTTGGGAGAAGGAAGCTTTAGGTGTGGACAGACCATAAGAACCTAGAGGCCTTAAAAACACTCTGGAAGTTGTCACCTAAGCAAGTCCATTGGGCTCAACATTTTAATCAGTTTAACTTCTCTTTACGCTATTTTCCTGGGGGGGGGGAATTTATGGTGGATGCTCTGTACCCCTGCTCATAGAAGGAGAGCAGCACTTTGGCATGGCACCTGGGCATAGGAAGCCCCACTACCCTTCCCCCTGCTCCCTTCCCCTACCTACCACTCAATCACACTTTGGGACAGAGGAGCACGTGCTGGAAATGCATATTGGGGCAACATCGGAGCGCACCTTCTGACCCTCAGGCACCGAGGGTCAGAAGGTGTTCCTCCAGGCCCGGCTTGCTGAGGAGTGGGGTGAGCAGCCCTGATGCCTCCACTCCCCCCCCCCAAACAGCTCCAGCCATTGCTGCCCGGCTTCCTCAAAGGGAGCCACAGCAGAGGGGTGAAAGAGCTACATGTGGCTTCCGAGCCGTGGGTTGCCAATACCCGACCCGGCCAATTCAATTCAATTCAGAATAGAGGTGGAAGAAACCTTGGAGGTCTTCTAGTCTAGTTTAAGCAGAAGACTCTATACATTCCAAATGGTTGTCCTGGCTCTTCTTTAAAACCTCCAATGATGAAGCACCCACAACTTCTGAAGGTTAGCTGTTCCATTGATTATTCTAACTGTCAAGAATTTTCTCCTAGGTTGCTTCTCTCCTTGATTAATTTACATTCCATTGTTTTTTGGCCTGCCCTCTGGTGTGTTGGAAAATAAGTTGACCCCCACTTCTTTGTGGCAGCCCCTCAAATAGCATTAGGCATGTTTATCACTTTGCGTTATTTGTAAAAATAATAAAGGCAGGATTTTAAAAATCTAATAAATAAAAATAAATAAATAAGCTGGCCATGACTTATTTACTGGCACTGGATGTAATGATCACAACTGAATGACATCATTATACACATAGCAAAAGTAATAGCCTTCACAGTGCTTTACTGCCCTCTCTAAGCAGGTTACAGAGTCAGCATATTGCCCCCAACAATCTGGGTCCTCATTTTACTCACCTCGGAAGGACGGAAGATTGAATCAACCTTGAGCAGGTCAGGATTGAACTCTTGCCAGTGAGCAGAGTCAGACTGCAATACTAGCCACTGCACCACTACGGCTCTTTGTCATGAGATGTTGTCATTTTGGCATCATCACTATTTTCTAAAAATAATAAAGGCAGGATTTAAAAAAAAAATTTAAAACAATTTCTATTCAGATCCCAAAATGACAAATCTGTTGTATCTGAAGTAATTCTCAAAAGACAAATTAAATTTTTAAGAGCCACTTTGTTCTAGTGGTTAAGGAACCAGACTAGAAAGCGGGAGCCTGTGAAATCACATTTGCATGATGTCATTATATACATGTTGTTATTTTGGCATTAGCATCATTTTCTAGGATTACATACAGTTTTCTCCAATGGCATCTTGAACACTCAAAGAGAAGCCCTTTTAAAAGAGTTGGATTACTTACCATCTTAAAATCTGAACTTCTAAGAGAGGCTCCATCTTTCAATTAATCTACTCTTGCCTCAGTCTGAAAAGCAAGATGAAGATCTAAAATATCTTCCTAACCCTGCTGAATAATTTGTGACAGCCCCTATCAAATATCATGAATTTCACATAAAGCTATTTTGGAATAGACTGCCAGACTAGGAGGGGGGGGGGGAAGCCAATTTTCTCATTAAATGGTAAATCGTAAGATGGAAAACTCCATTATGCCCATCATAAGAATCATTTATCAGAACTGTATGACTTCTATTATAGTCCTTAATAGGACTGTATAGCTTTAAAGCAATGCCCCGAAGGTGCTTTTTCAAGCACCTTTTCAAGCACCTTTCAATGTCCCAAAGGTGTTTTTTTTTAAAAGACAACTGGACTTTCTTTGTTTTTCCTTGAAGACATTTCGCTTCTCATCCAAGAAGCTTCTTCAGTTTTGACTGATTTCCATTGTCCACCATTTAGTCAAAGTTAAAGAAGCTTCTTGGATGAGACTTTCAAGGTCCCTTACAACTCTGTATTTCTGTGTGTCTATGTTCTTTATGGTTTATGTCAAGCGTTTTTTTTCCAGTTCCTTTCTCAGCTTCCCAGCAAATCTCTCATATCAAGATACACATTTGTCTTGCATGTCTGATTGGTGCCATCCCATTTGAGAAACAAAGTGAATGAGGCCACATTAGATAAGAAGATGGAGATGTTTTTTCCCAGGGTTTTCTCAATTTTTTGAAAGGCTTTGTAAGCATCTTATGAAACACAAAAAACTATTTGATTCTCCCCCAAAACTATGGGGGAAAAAAAACACAGTGTTGATTTTTCTGATTTTCAGCAGAAAATACCCAAATTGCAAAGTTGCACTTAGGGCCTCCAAATCATGGCTTGTTCATCCTTGGTCTAAAATGACATGGGAGTTTCTGAGGAAAACTGACTTTTCCAGCAAATGTGTAAATCAAATAATCTGAGCTATGAGTTTGCAACTGCCCTCACATCTCAGAACTGTCTGAATGGGCGAGGCTTTTATTTTTAGCACATTCTTGAGCAGAAATGGCCATAATTAATCTCTGATGAGTAATAAAATACCCCGACTGACAGAAAGCAGGCAAAGTCCCGAGTCATAACTGTTCCTATTGTAAGCAACAGATGTCTCCCAAAATACAACATAATAAATATTGTATGACTTTACACCAGGGGTGGGTTCTACTTACCTTTACTACTGGTTTGCAATGGGACTGCACGCATGCGCTCACTTTGCTTGTGTGCGGTTCTGCGCATATGCAGATCACCCATGATGACGTCATGGTGGGTGGGCGGAGCCCCCCACCAGGTTTACTACCGGTTAGAACTGAACTGAACCAAACCAGGAGCAACCCACCACTGCTTTACACACATACAAAGAGTCTAACTACCACTTAGGAAAAGGGAAGAATGACATTCAGTTCATATTTTGATAGGAGCTTACCAAATTTGTGGTTCCCAAAACAAAAAGTGAGTTGGAACAAAACTCATCAAAAATATTGAGGTTGTAATTCCATGCAATTCTTCCTTCAACAGCATCAATGACAACCACCACTGCTGGTGACAGAATTGTCTTGATGGGGTATAAATTAAAGAACAGAATAACAGAGTTGGAAAGGACCTTGTAGGTCTTCTAGTACAACTGCCTGCTCAAGCAGGAGAAAGTATACCATTTCAGACAAACTGTTGTCCAATCTCTTCTTAAAAACCTACAGTGGTGGAGCATCCAGAGAGTGCTCCATCATTTTAGAGACTAAAACATATGAAGAATGGTTACAGAAACTGGGCATGGCTAGTCTAGTGAAGAGAAGGACCAGGGGAGACATGATAGCAGTGTTCCAATATTTGAGGGGCTGCCACAGAGAGGAAGGGGTCAAGCTATTTTCCAAGGCACCCGAAGACCAGACAAGAAATAATGGATGGAAACTGACTGAGAGATTCTAGAAATTAGGAGAAATTTTCTGACAGTGAGAACAATCAACCAATGGAATAGTTTGCCTTCGGAAATTGTGGGAGGTTCATCATTGGAGGCTTTCAAGAAGAGATTGGACTGCCATTTGTCAGAAACGGTGTAGGGTCTTCTGCTTGGGCGGAGGATTGGACTAGATGACCTAAAAGGTCCCTTCCAACTCTGCTAATCTGTAAACCCACAACTTCTGGAGGCAATTCATTCCACTGATTAATTATTCTAACCGTCAGGAACTTCTCTTAATTTTTCCTTAATTCTAGGTTAGTTCTCTCTTTGATTAATTTTCATCATTACTTCTTGCTCTGCCTTCAGGTCAGGGGTGAAATGCTCCCGGTTCGGACCGGATCGCCCGATCTGGTAACGAATGGTGGCGGGTGGTTCGGAGAACCAGTAGCAAAAATTCTTGCCCCCCCCCCATGCCCAGCTGAGCCGTGCAATCATCAGAGGCTTTTAAAAAAAAATTTAAAAGCATTTTTTCTACAATCTCTTCAGCTGAAAAAATGCTTTTAAAAATTAAAAAAAAAGCCTCTGCTGATCAGGCAACTCAGCTGGGATCGTCAGAGGATTTTAAAAGCATTTTTTTTACAACCTCTTCGTCCAAAGAGGTTGTAGAAAAAATGGTTTTAAAAGTTTTTTTAAAAAAGTTGGCCACGCCCACCCAGTCACATTACCCTCCCCCACCAAGCCACACCCACAGAACCAGTAGTAACAAATTTTACATTTCACCACTGCTTCAGGTGCTTTGGAGAATAGGCTGACTTCCTACTGAACACTGCTATCATGTCACCCCTGCAATTAAATAATAATGCTATGCAGAGAAGCCGTGAAATATGAGAGAAGTTGTCAGCCTGGGCCGGTGGGTATGAAAAGATAGGTGAGAACTAGATTGCTGTTTTCTCCGTTATGAAATCCCAAATGTATCTTCAGGTTCAAATGATGTTTAGGTTCCCTACTGCTGTATACTTATTCCTTGCTTTAGCTATTCATGACAGTAAGGAGGACAGGATAAATTTTCTGAGGATGACAAAGAAGAACGTCAGTGTCTGTTTTTAGATGCTATTTAATTGCCATATTCTTCCAATCAATTAGCACTACAAGATTGGAAAACGGGAGAGGAACCATCTCAGTTTCATTATGGATAGATAGATAACAGATAGATAGGTAAAGATAGTTAGATCGATAGTTAGATAGTTAGATAGTGAGATAGATAGATAGATAGATAGATAGATAGATAGATAGATAGATAGATAGATAGATAGACAGACAGACAGACAGACAGACAGACAGACAGACAGACAGACAGACAGACAGATAACAGAATAACAGAGTTGGAAGGGATCTTGGACTTCTTCTACTCCTTCTGCTGAAGCAGGAGACTCTATACCATTCCAGACAAATGGTTATCCAATCAGTGATGAAGCAACCACAGCTTCTGAAGGCAAACCCTTCCACTGGTTAATTGTTTTCACTGCCAGGAAATTTCTCCTTAATTCTAGGCTGGATCTCTCTTTGATACATTTCCATTTGTTCTGCCTTTAGGTGCTTTGGAGAATAGGTTGACCCCCTCTTCTTTGTGGCAGCCCCTCAAATATTGGAAGACTGCTGTCATGTCACCCCAGTCCTCCTTTGCATTAGGAGAGAGAGGGGGGAGAGGGAGAGGGAGGAAGAAAGAGAGATTGAATATTACGTATGTCAGGCTTGGGAAATGACCTGCTCGGTCAGTAATTGGTTGATGATCTGAAAAAAGAAAAAAAGCAGATTGATGGAAATTGATGGAAAGGACTAGGTAGAATTTTTTTTGACTATGACATGTTTTTTAAACACTTATTTCCACCAACTTTATTAGGAGACATAGGCAGACTTAAGCAACTCAGATTGTTTGGCAAATTAATTATCTAGATCATAAGCAGGGAAGTGTCTAAGAATCCAAATCGTCCACTCCGGATTTTAGCATGGTTGCCAAAATGTCATCTCAAGTTCATTGGGAAGGCTGATAATCAAAACATCCATGGGTGGCAACAGCAAGGTATAGTTTCCTTAGTGAATCTTTTTATTTTTATTTAGATCACTGTGTGTGTTTCCCAAATTTAATTACACCCCCCCTTCATCCTGCTAAACATTGTTTTTCTTTACTCAGCCATTCTCAGTTCTCAGCGGAATCAAGTCTGCAGCTGGTACTTACCGATACATTTGAAAATAATATATAAAATTAATGAGTGTGCGGAATCAGATAGATTAACTAGATTGATCAATGGTAAAAAAAGATTCAGAATTTTATAACAGTTGGAAAGTATGGTACGATTGGGTCCAGAAAAGGTGGGATAGAATAGATATATGATGATGTATATATATATGATGGCAAATATGTATGTATAAAGGAATGACTTTATACTTATGGACAATGTAATCATATTATACCATGGTGGCAGGATTGTATATTTTATTTGTGTATTGGTGAAGAAAAAAAAAAGTCTGCAGCTGATACAACTTTGAAATAGCATAAAAACCCAGAAATTACAGATAGTTCTTGACTTATAACCATTTGTTTAGCAGTTGTTCAAAGTTACAACAGAATTGAAAAAAAGGGGACTTATTTGTGATTCTTTCCTTATAACCGTTGCAGCATCCCCATGGTTATGTGATCAAAATTCAGGCACTTCACAACCAGCATATATTTATAATAT